TCACTATCAAAACCACCATTTCGACCACTCATGTGCCAGTGATCAGTGTTTGGGCGAGCGGTCAATGTTTTCAATGAGCGAGCGAGCGAGCGAAAAAAAAAAAACGCGATTAAAATGCGGTCGGTTTCCGGTCGGACAAGACCGCGTGGTCGGAAATTAAGCGATAAGCGGTCGATGTAAAAGCGGAAGGTTGGGCGAAATGAGTACTGTATGACCATGTTTCTCCGACGAAGTCTCGACTGACAATAATGCTGACAATGGACGTTAGATAAACACGCATTGTTTGCAACTGGAAGCTTATCACCCGTTACATCAGAATCGTCAACAACAGAGTATACAGATAAGATTTTATTATTTAATTCCTTCCAAAGATAAACACTATGCAAATATCCACGAAACAGCAGTTGTAGTCTTTTCTGCTAGTGTTTTAAAACACTAATTTGAGCAACGTTATTTCGCAATTTCGATCTTTTGTAAACCTGGGGTGATGTATCAAGGTCTAAAGTAACCGTTTTATCAATTTTTGAAAAATCAAGAAAAAAAGTGAAAATTTCCCTTCTCGCTACCTTAAGAAAAGTTTAAAACAATGAATTATTTTGCTGAAATGGTAGTTTAATAACAGAAATGTAAATTAAACATCAGGAAAACCTTTTTCTCAATATAAAGTGTATGCTACAGTAGCATGTTTCAATTTCCTACACAAATCTGACAAACTTATTTTTACTTTACATTTTTCTCGATTTGGGAAACTAAACAAGTTGAAATTGGCCGAGAGAAACCGATTCTATATCAGCCACTTTGGCTAAAACTATTTTATTCCTAGCGTGTACCAAGGAAGCAATACATTTCAAATGGTACAGTCACCGAACTGCCTTCATGCATACATATTTTTTTTACTTCATATAGTTGATAGTCACTCAATAATACTTTTGTTCTATTCATTATCAGAAATTTCATTTACTCAACAAAGATGAGTTAGCAGTAGCTATGATGGTGACAAGTAAAGAATTATTCAACACACTCTCTCTACTAGTTCCTTGTGTTGGGTGTCGGAGGAGGTATGTTGTCAGCATGTCTTTTAACACAGTGCTCTGCATGGTGCTATGTTAACTTTATAGGGGGGTGGTGCATGTAACTAGCAGTGCATGAGTTGATGGTGTACATTTGAAAAATGTTTGTCAGTATTTATCATGTCATCAACAGGGTTATAAGGGACAGGTCTGTCAGCCCTTCTGTCAAATTGTAGACTTTTGGCCTTAATTTCAAAAACTGGTAATTAGCAAAATCAAGTCTGATGTGGTAATCTCTGCATGCATTTTAACCCTGAATGGAAAATATATATATATTTCCTCTTCCAGAATAACATTGTACACATATCTGGGTTTGGCTTCAAATGCACATTTTGATGTCTCAGTCATGATGGAATAGCTCTTCTGTACACGTCTCTTTCTAGTGGCAATTTTATTTCCAAGTTTTGCAAAAATTGATTGTTGGACCATTTGAAAATCACCAATGAGGCAGGAACAAATGCATGATCTAAATGATTTCCATCCATCTTTTTCTGATATGTCTCATTTAGTTGATGGTAAAATATCAAACGGTTTTAGTGGGGACTTTGAGGATGGTCGTATCAGAGCATCTTGTCAAATCAACCTCCTTGAGATATTGGTTATAATCAGCTATGTTCATACAACGATAAACTCTGTGAAATGAATGAAATTATGAAACATCGCCCTCCAGTGCCAGCATACGTTAGCCGAAATACTGTCATTAACATTGGAAGGTTGCCATCAAAATCATTTATGTATTAAACCTATCTCATTTCAGTGCAGTGGTTCATTTGGAAATTGTCCTTCATGTTAGTAGACAAGATTAGTTTAGAGTTTATTGTGAATATGTGCATGTCAAGGGGGTTAATTCAAGTCGTTTGTGAAGCATTTTTTTAAATAGATTTTGTTAACTGTTGTAACATAGAGATATCTTGTAGTTTACCAAGATGTCGCAAATTTATTCGTGTCTTGTCATTTGTGTGTATGAATAAAAAAAAAATGTTCCTTCAAATATTCTGTGAACTTTCAAAGGCAACTATGATATCTAAGAATGCAAAACATGACTGGAGCAGAAACACTAAAATTTTATTGCATATATCTTTGATGACTTGAAGTACAATAACCTCCTTGGTTTACGAGATTGGCACTGCCGCACTCACTTTTTGCTATCGGTGATGAAATGATATTCTAGCTGTACAGTGAAACCATGACAATTCAAACCAAATGATGCCAAGCATAAGATGTATTGAGGATGTACATTTATTGTTATACATTTGTTGTCTTTGCTTTAGTGTGGAACGTATGTTTCATCAGCTGGTACAGTCAGGTCACCAAAGAGCTTTAGATCCTCTCGTTGTCACACCCAGTGCTGTGTTATCAATAGTCAGAGATACATTATTTGATGCCAGGTCTGTTTTTATACTCTTCAATGTGCAAGGGTAAGTACAATAATAATACACTGTTTTATGTTCACTGCGAGATCACATGCTTGTGAAATCAAGTGTAAAAACAGGACATACAAAGGTCGTAGTGGCATCAAAACATTGCATGTATTTTGGGGGTACCGTTAAAGTCCTAATATAAACCGCATACGTAATAGTAACCGCACCCCCAATTCCGGCTTCGGGGTTAAAGAGTTCTTAACAAAAATTGAAAACTTGAAAAGTACCTATTACTAACCGCACCCCCAATTCAACAAGACCGTGACTGACTTCATTGTTTCAAACAGCTGTTCCAAAACGGCATTGTTCCTAATCCTATTCATTT